CATTCGTTATGGACTGTAACGGCGCAAGTTGGGAGCACGTAAGACCACTGAGAAGTGGATTACAGTAGTCAAGGCTAGAAAGGACAGTGGAATGGACCAGCACCTTAGTCGCATCTGGCGTTAAGTAGGGTCGGATGTGCGCAATGTTTTGGAGATGGAAGCGGCAGGATTTGGCGAAAGACTGGACATGAGTCATGAAGGAGAGGTCGGAGTCAAAGAGAACACCTAGGCAGCGAGCCTGTGTGGTGGAACTGATGGTGGCACCGTTGACTTGGAGGGAGGGAGACACAGGAGTAGCAACACTTGAAGGAGGAAAGACCAGAATTTCAGTTTTGGTCAAGTTGAGTTTAAGGAAGTGGGCAGCCATCCAGTTAGAAATAGCAGAGAGGCAGTCAGAGATACTAGTCAAGAGGGACGGGAAGAGATCAGGAGAGGACAGATGGATTTGTGTGTCATCCACATAGAAATGATATTGGAAGCCAAAGGAGCTAATGAGTTTACCAAGGGAGGCAGTATAGATAGAGAACAGTAAGGGACCAAGGACTGAACCTTGGGGTACACCAACAGAGAGGAGTTGGGGAAAAGAAGCAGAGCAAGAGAAAGAAACACTGAAAGAGCGCTTGGAGAGGTAGGAGGAGCACCAGGAGAGAGCAATATCTTGTAGACCGATATTGCGGAGGATGAGAAGAAGCTGTTGATGATTAACAGGGTCAAAAGCCGCAGAAAGGTCAAGGAGAAATAGGATAGAGTAGTGACCACGAGATTTTGCAGCGAGTAGATCATTGGATACTTTGGTCAGTGCCGTTTCCACAGAGTGCTTAGCGCGGAAATCAGACTGAAGCAGGTCTAGCAGAGAGTTGGACTCGAGGAAGTCTGTTAATCTTGCATACACAACTGTCAATCAAGATACACAAGGATCTTGGACGCAAAAGGCAGTAGCCAGAAGAGAGAGCGAGATTGAGAATTTTAGTGAGAGGTAGAGAAAGAAGAAGACAGAGTACGGATGACAAGCAAGGGAATTTGATCTAGGGAGCAGGTGGTGGGGCGGGAGGACTGGAGCAAAGCAGAAACTGCTTCCTCTGTAGCAGGTGCGAATGAACATAGAACAGCAGAGGGAGTGAGGTTAGGGGAAGTATTGTAAGGGGAAGAAGAAAGATGAGAGATCTCTTCCTGATTGTAGAGATCTTGTCAGTGAAGTGAGTTGCAAAGTCTGAGGCAGTCAGGTTAGTAGGTGGAGGCGGAACAATAGGGCGAAGAAGAGATTTAAATGTGTGAAATAGTCATTTGGGTTCGCGGGAGAGTGTGGTTATGTCCAGGGTCGGTGCAATAATTTCTGACGCCCTAGGCAAAGATCCATTTTGCCGCCGCTTCATGTCACTCACTCAGTGACAGACACACACACGCTGACACACATACACAGAAACTCACTGACAAACATACATTCACTGATAGACACACACCCACACACAGATACTCACTGACAGACATACACACACACTCACTGACAGACATACACTCACACACACACACACACTCACTGACAGACATACTCACTGACACACACACACTCACTGACAGACAAACACACACAGATATTCACTCACTGACATACACTCAACTCCCTGGGGTCCAGTGTGGGGCAGCGCCTCATTCCTCCAGCCCGCTGTTCAGTATGCCGGGGCCAGAATGATGTCATATTCCGGCTCCCGGCATCACAGAGGGCGCGCGAGGGAGGAGTGAGAGGCATGCCAGAAGAGCCTCCCTCGCCGCCTGCCGGCTCCATCCCCTCTCCTCCAGTCACCAGCATTTCATGGCAGAGCAGGCACCTGTCGTCAAGGTAAGAAGGTGATGTCTAGTTGAGACGAGAGAGTGGAATTGTAGAAGGAGGTTGCAGAGCTAGGACAGGTTACGTTCAAGTAGTCAGTCAACAGAATTGAAAGGAAAAAAAGTAGTTAGTCAACAGAATTTAAAACCCCCAGCCCCAATAGGAATGATCAGGATCATAATTGCAAATTTAGATTGTGAAAACTCGATTTGTACTACATTTATGACATTTAAAATTAAAGTTGTTGTGCCTTTAATTCACTGCACTGATCTTACCTTTGTTTTGATCTAGTACATCAAGCATGTCAAACTCGCTACCCATGGGCCGCATACGGCCCACAAGGACCATCTTTGCGGCTCGGCGAGCCGCGAGTACGTGCTGGTGTTATAGCAGAGAAGGCACCTGCTTTCCCCATATTGCAGGTGCCTACTCTGCTTACACTTATCCGGCTGGAGAGGAGAGGAAGGTGGATGCAGAGAGGTTAGTGTTAGTGTTCCTGCTCCTCATTACTCCCTCGCGCGCGCCGTCTGTAGTGAAGCCGGGCGCTGGAATATGACGTCATATTCTGGCACCACTAAACCGCGCGAGGGAGCAGTGAGGAGCAGGAAGGACCCCAGGAAGATGCTCTACATCGGCTCCAAAAGGTAGGGAGCAATAAAGAAAAGTGTGTGCAAGAATGTGTAAGTGTGTGTCTTTCAGTGTGTGTGTCTGTCTGTCAGTGAGTGTGTGTCTGTATGTGTGTGTCGTCAGTGTGTATGTGTGTTGTTTTTTCTGTCATTGTGCGTGTGTTTGTCTGTCAGTGAGAATGTGTGTATGTATGTGTATCTGTCTGTATGTGTCAGTGAGTGTGTGCCAGTGTGTCTGTCAGTGAGTATGTGTGTGTCTGTGTGTGTATCTGTCTGTCAGTGAGTGTGTGTCTGTCAGTGTGTCTGTATGTGTGTGTGTCAGCAGGAGGCAGGGCCGGACTGGGGATTCCAAAGCAGCCCTGAAAAAAAAAATCTATGCCAGCCCCATAAATCATTGCGCCATATATTGTTGCATGTAATATGTAAGGCTATGTCTTGCCACCCTAGATGATTGAGATATATATATATATATATATATATATATATAGAGAGAGAGAGAGAGAGAGAGAGAGAGAGAGAGAGAGAGAGAGAGAGATCTTTTTCCAATATAAAATATTGGTCCTTTCAGAGTAAAAATTTTAATTATACAGTAAGCATACTCACATGCAGACACAGACAATCTCACTGACACAAGCTGATTGATACACAGCCTCATAGACAAACAATCTCACTGATATACATAAGGTCATTAAAATAAAAACACAAGCTCACTCAGTAGCAGGCACACACACACACACACAAGCAAGCCCACTCACTAGCAGGCGCGCACACACACACACACAGCTTAATGTAGTGGCTCTGGTGTCTACAGCCTGTCCCTGCAGGCTTTTCAATGTAAACACTGACTTTTTAGAGAAAAAGCAGTGTTTACATTGCTTCCTAGTGACAGACACTCAGACGGTCACTAGAGGTGCTTCCTGTGTCAGTGCGGATTGGCTGAGATCAGCACGACGTAGGGAAAAAAAAAAAAGGTGAGTAAAAACACACATACACACACACATACCATGACAGACACACACCGTGACACAGACAGAAACACAGACACACCATGACAGACAGACACACCATGACACAGACAGACACACACACACCATGACAGAGACACACACATACCATGACAGACACACACCTTAAAAAAGACACACACACCATAGCACAGACCGTGACACAGACACACACACGACACAGACAGACACACCATGACACACAGACACACACCACGACACAGAGAGATCGTGACACAGACACACACACACCGTGACACAGACAGACACACATTACATGACACAGACAGACACACACCATGACAAACACACACACCATGACAAACACACACACACACCATGACACAGACAGACCATGACACAGACAGACGCACACACCATGACAGTCAGAGACACACACACCATGACACAGACACACACAATGACACACACATTGCATGACACAGACACACACACACCATGACACAGACGCACACACCATGACAGACATAGACACACAGACACACACACACAATGACACAGACACACCATGACACAGACACACACACACCATGACACAGACACACACACACATGACACAGACAGACACACACACAAATGACACAGAAACACACACACTCACACTGACACACACAATGTCTACCTGTGGGGAGCTCTAATGGTGGCCGCAGGGGGAGATGGCTATTCTGGCGGCCGCAGGGGGAGCTAGCTCTTCTGGCGGCTGCAGGGGGAGCTGGCGATTCTGTCTCTGCTCCCCCTCCCCAGTGCGCCGCTTAATGAGCCCCGGGCCGGAATATGACGTCATATTCCGGCCCCAGTCTCTTTCTAGAGTGCTGGGGAGGGGCAGCAGAGAAAGAATAGCCAGCTCCCTCTGCGGCCGCCAAGGGAGCTCCCTTTGCAGCCGCAGGTCAGCCAGCTGCCTGCCCGGCCCCAGGTGCCGACTGCCCACCGGGAAACTTCCCGGTATCCTGGTGGGCCAGTCCGGCCCTGGCAGGAGGATCAGATTTGGCACAGGTGGTAGAGGGGGGTGCCCTAGTTTAGTAGAGGAGTGGACTGGCATTTAGTAGAGGGGAATGCTGGGGGGTTTTTATACTGTACTTTTTAAAATAAACCTACCTTTCTATGAAAAGTTTTTTTGTTTTGTTTTTTTGCAGCCCACATAAACTTAAATCTTGTTTATGTGGCCCGTGTGAGTTTGACATGCTTGTAGTAAATCATCAATTTGTACGTGTCTACCAATTGAATAGGATCTGTGCTGCATTGCCTGGATTTTATAATTTTATATTGTACTTGCATGTGAATGATAATGGTATGCTATAATGGCATACTAACATAAGACCAGATGACAGTCTTTAGTGTAGGACATATAAAACACACTATGACCATACAATATATATGTTGTATCCCATATCGCAAGGTGTGTGGTGACCGATAAATAAGCAGAATGGTGTTTAGCCGATGATATGCTGAAGTTGGCCCCTTAAAAGCTGCCAAGAAAAAAAACAATCTCAACCAATCAGGAGGATTTCCTTCTCTCCTGCTGTAGGCCTTTGAACTGAGCGGGATCTAAAGATTCTCCTGATTGGCTAATAGGCTGCTGTCCGCTCAGTGCTTGTTACTGTAGCCAGTCTCGGTTCCGGTGCAGAACACCGGCTTCGTTCTAATCGCGTGCTGACAGCCGCCTCTGCAGCCCACAATACAGCGAGACCTTCTCCCTCTGCATACAGGCGCTCTAATTGCAGGTCCGTGTAAATATATGTATAAGCTGGGAGTGCCTTTTATCTGTCATTTTTACAATTTTTAGGCCCATTTTCTGCATATGCACTGATCTCATGCGCCCACGTTCAGTGTCTTGAGGTCTTGCCCCATATTAATTGGGGCTCTCTTGTGACCTCCAGCCCTCTTGTTCGCCCGCTGTCATCTGGCTATATGCCCTCTTTTGCATAGCGCTGCAAAGTATAATCGCTTGTTGAAAAAACAGGACATGTAGGTCTCATGTAACATAAACAATAATAGGTTTTTAAAAATCAGCAAGTTCCTCTCACCATAGCAGAGATTGGCTAACAATTTCTTTACCTATTCTTGGTGCTCCAGAGCTTTTTAAAGAGAGGTTACGCATGACCCACACACTAATGCACAACCAGAGTTTATGGGATATATTGTTTAGCTTCCTATTTAAAGAATCAGTCTTGGTACCATAACTCGTACAGCCTGCTGTAGTTTAGATTCTGTCCAGTTGTAGACCTTTAGGGGAGCACTCCTGATGTTACCCACGTCAGGTTACTTACCCGTAGTCTAACATCCTGCCATGTTGTACAGTCAATGTTTTTAAATATATAGTGTGTGGCAGCTGATTGCCGTGAGAGTGCTTGCAGAAAGCATGCTCAGGACTCTATGATGATGCTGTGATATGTGCTCCTCACAGCTCCTGGTGGCATATCCTGATTGTGGTGGGCACCGTTAGTCCCATGGTTCTCAACCATGCTAAAGGTATGTGGTAAATAAATATATGATTAGGGAGACCAGAGTAACAGGTGAGAGGGAAAACATGGAGAGAGAGAGACAAGAGTGTTGAGGGAGAGAATAAGAGGAGAGGGGGGAAAGGGTGGTGTTAAAGGGACACTATAGTCACCCAGAACACTTCAGTTCAATCAAGTGGTCTGGGTGCCAGGTCCTTCAGGTTTTAACCCTTGACGTGTAAACATAGCAGGGTTAATCCAACCTCTAGTAGCTGTCTTCCTGACAGCCGCTAGAGGTGCATCTGCGACGCTGGATGCGAAATTCGCATCCAGCATGCAGAACGTCCATAGGAAAGCGTTGAGAAATGTTTTCCTATAGACAGTTTGAATGTGCACACGGCACTTGCCGCTCATGCGCATTCCGCTCCACTGGGAGCTGCGTCGGCGGGGGAGGAGAGGTTACCAGCACAGAGGGAGCCCGGTGCTGGATTAAGGTAAGTTGCGGAAGGGGTTTTAATCCCTTCAGCGCCACCGGAGGGGGACCCTGAGGGTGGGGGCACCCTTAGTGCACTATAGTGTCAGGAAAACCGCTTTGTTTTCCTGACACTTTAGTGATCCTTTAAATATGGAGAAAATAACAAAAGGGCATAATCAGTAGAGAAGGACACAAGGGGGGAGGGAATTGAAATAGGGGCACCACCAATTCAAAGCTTCCCAATAAGGGACAATGCCTCCAGTAGCTGTCTGTGTGACCGTCGCTATAGGCTTGATGATCTCCGCCAGGGAGGTGGGATGGCAAAGCAGTTTGGTAAGTGAGAAAAGGGGTAAGTAAATATCTACTTTTTAAAGCTTACGAAGGGGGGTGACTCTTACCTGGTGGGACATTACTGGGGAATTGTTGGCATTATAACTGCTACAGTGCACTGTATTTGTTATGGTCAACGTTTGTGAGCTTAGAGGGTACTCCATAGACAAGAGCAATGTAACATGTATATGTCTGTCTATTCCCTATTTACCTCCTGGGCTCATAAACCTTGCCATTTAATCCCACTAGCTGACCTCTCTTTGTACTCTTCATTTTAAAAAGTTAGTCTAAACACCAAGTCTTAAGAAGGGATTTTTATTTTTATATATTTGCACCCATTGATTTGTATGCATCAGTATGATTACAGGAAATGTCACTCTGTGTATGAAAAAACAGAATCATTTGCGTGGGAGAATTTTAAGAAGAGGGAAATTTTGATTGATCTGTATCATTGTAAAAATGTCAAAACTGAATTTCATTTCATAAATTCCTTCTCCTGAAGGTGTGAATGGTGATAGATGCCAGTGTCGCAAAGAGCTCCACATAAAAATAAGAGCATAAAAATGTTTGTTGGTAATGGCTTACTTTGGCAGCACAGGTGTTTTTCAACTACATGTCTTGTGATGCTCACTCAGGGAAATGTAGTTTAAAACAATCATGGGTGCCATGGTACCCCATCACTGGTATCTAGGCATACCAAAATGCTTTGGTTAATGTTATGCGGAAATTAATTATGCACATTAGTGTTCTCTCGGGCACTGATTCCTTTTACTTTTAGTGTGTGCAGTCATATAATCATTTAGACCACAGAGTTTAAGAAAAGTGCTTTTTATATTTGTTTTAGGGTGTATTATATTAAAATCTAAAACTGTTTCATCAAGCTAATTTTACAATTGACGAATGTGTCTTATATCTAACACCATGCACATAACGTGCCTCTCTCTAACAAAAGGTCAACAACCACTGCTCTAGGGCATTATAAATATCTTTTTACCTGAGTTTTTTTTCATTTTGTGTGTGGTTCTGTTTCTAGGAAAATGCAACGCACTTCACGTTTAAACAGGGAGCTGCAGCTTCTTAACACAGAGCCTCCTCCTGGGGTCACCTGCTGGCAGCATGAAAACAAGATGGATGATCTACGAGCCCGTGAGTATGATCCATCTTGTTATCAAATATTACTATAAATGTTGCTAAAACTGAAGCTCGGTCATATATATGTTACCGTTAAAGTGCAGAAATCAGTTAATGTGCACATTACCTAGTTAATCTGCAGATTAAATAGGGCGATCAGTTAAAGTGCAGAAAATGATTTCGTTTCTCAAATATTTCTCACATTACATAGGTAATCTGCAAATTACCTACTAGGCACTCGTTAAAGTGCAAAAAAATAATTTTGTCCTCCATCTCTCTGAGGGTCTCACAGCTCTGAAGGACACCATGGTGTGCACAGGCTGCTGTTCTGTTCTTGTCTGGATCATATAGTCACATACCTCTTCAAACAGTTATCCCGAACTGGTAAGAAACGAGGAGCCCTCACCACCACATGAGAGCGAGCGCTTCCTGCACATTATGCAGCAACACCCTGAATTGATCCCAGCAGATGCTCTCCACTGTTCTCAATATCATCATATATTTGAAGACTGTCGGAATCAGTGGTCCATGAGCAGACCTCTCCTTGGTCTCATTCTTCTCAATGAGAGAAGTATTTCTCAGACGTACGGAGCAGTATTGTTAGTAGCTAGCCCCCTCTGAGAAGCAACAAGCCATGCGTCTATGCTTTGAGAATTTGATGGTGGAGGGCATTGAAAGGAACTTGCTCACAAAAGAATCGAGACATGTTCACGCATAATCTTTCTGCCTTCAGACGAGAAGTGAACGACTCTGCAGAGACTGCACTGAAAGGGTGAAACAGGTTCTGCAAGGACGTTTTTGTAATAAATAATTTCCTCTTTTACCGAGGGAAAGAAACAAACATTTTGCACTTTAACTATACGGAAGCAGTTAATGTGCACATTACCTAGGTAAAGTGCGGAAAACTCTTGATTCCGCACTTTAACGGAGCAAATCAGTTAATCTGCAGATTAACTAGGTAATGTGCACATTAACTGATTTCTCACTTTAACTGTAACATATACATATGTACCATCTCAAATGAGCATATGTGTTTTTAACTCCATTAGATACTGCACATGTTCCAGAGATTTTGTATACTTTCTCTAAATTGCACTGCCTAAAAATATCTTGGTTAATCCATGTTATTACTTTCTAACCAAAAGCAGAAATGAAGAGCACATATGGATGATGTCAGTAATAGAGGATGTTGCTACTGCCTCATGGAAGTCACTCATGGTCCCTACAGTCATAGTCTAAGAGCAATAAGTAGAACAATCACTTGCTGCTAATTCACTGGAGTGAAGTTCTCATTGATTTTTTTGTTGTGATTTTTCTCTGTGTAGAGAAAGATGATACATTTTGTCTTTCCCTTCATAATGGATGATGTTCTAAATAGTTCCTGTTTCTCATCAGAGGTTGTTGGTGGCTCTGGTTCTCCATATGAGGGTGGTATCTTCAACTTGGAGATTGTAATTCCAGAAAGGTATGGAAAGAAATTTCATATCCATTCTTGTATGTGGTGAGTGTCATGACCAGGTTTACCTGCAAGCTCCAACAGTGGGGAGAGGGTGGGTATGTAATAGGTTAATAGAACTTGGCTTCTGGATTTATTAACTCTACCCTCTGCCAGAGCACAAAATTAGATTAAATTAACCTCCAAATACCACCTACAACGCCCTAGGTTCTAGTTAAAAGACATAAACAGTTTGTTTCGAAAGGTTTCTCTGAATCAAATTCCTTTTAATCCACATTGGGAGTAATCCATCGTCCAGGATTTACATGTGAAGGTAAATTCAATTAAATTCAGTCTTATTCAATGAATACAACTTCACAGGTAAATCCTGGACAATCAAAACATTTTTTGCACTGCTACCACCAAGACTCTATATGGGCATCTTCAGGTACCCTTTAAATCTGACACCAACTCGTTCTGGATAGACTATTCATATTTTAACTGTAGCTAAGCAATAAGAATTTTGTGCACTGATGATCCAGTTTTACATTAATGGAAAGTGTATATCACTAGAGTCTAGATAGGCCTTCAATTGGGTCCTGAAGAGCACAGGCACATAATGTAATTAATGATTGGGAAAGAGGTGAGCTCTTGAGGTTGCGTTAGCATTAATGTCAGACTGAGGTATTTGCAAGGCCAGAAAGTTGCAGTAGTCAAGTCAGAAAATCAGTGCATCAAAAAAGTTTTAGTATAAAGATCATGCCCATCCAGTGTCACTGCTTAATTATCTGCCATTTAGTAGTTAAATCACTTTTGTTTATGTTTATGCAGCTATATCCACAACACCCCACCTCTTTTGTTACTAACATGGCCAACATGAAAAAAAGTTTCATTTTAAATCAGATGTGACAGCACAATGTGTTTATTTTAGATGTTTTTTTTATCTAGTGCCCTGTTAATTTAACTGTAATCAAACACAGGGCTGCAGACTATTAAAGCAGGAGATAATAAATTATAAATGAAACAGATTGTGCAATAAAGAAAGTTTAAATATTATATCTCTCTGTACAGGAAATGTGTATGTAGACTGTGTAGGTCACGTGCAGGAGAGGTATGACTAGGGCTGTATAAATAAAGTGATTTAACCTACTTCCTAAATGGCAGATAATTGAGCAGTTAGACTTCAGGGGCATGATCTATGCACAAAACACTTATTTACGCTAAAGCTGTTTTGATGCTTATTGGCAGAGCTGCAGTGTGGTGGAGAAGGGAGTTAAAGGTGTTAGGAACCATAAGAATTGGTAGAGATGAGGGAAGTAAAATGCTCTAATTTAGCAAGGGAGAGGGCAGAAGTATAGGGACATACCTTGAATTTATTGTAGACAGTTTGGTATGATGCAAGACTTTCTCCAACAATGTTCTGCAGTACAAAACATTTCTGGAGATAATGAGTGAGCTTGATGTGCCAGGATTATATGGTTGTCACATAGAAAGAGCTTCAATTAATGCAACCACGTTTAGAGTGGTAGGCAGGACACAATTGTATGAGATAGCTTTGAAGAGTCAGGAGAGAATTGAGAAACTAAGGAAGACAAGTGACGCAGATCAAGGGAGCTAAGATTTCTGAGAGCCAAAAATAAGATTTAAAGGTACACTATAGGCACCCAGACCACCTCAGCTCATTAAAGTGGTGTGGGTGCAGTGTCCCAGTCCCACTTAGTCCTGCCATTTAAATCATTGCAGTTTCTAAGAAATCCAAAATTAAAGCAAAAATACCCAAGTCCTGACCATAGCAAAGTTAGAGAATAGTTCCAGATCAGCTATCTTTGCCTCCATTTTTCCATTGTTCTTGTCAATGTCCATGACTCAAGACAAGGGCATCCAATCTTTGATATTATTTTGTGTCAGGACAAGTAGAATATACTGGCGAACAAGTAATTGGGCTACCACTTTAGTCCATTGGACATGCTGATTTATTAAAAAATTCCACACCTGTGATGATTTTGTTGGATAGTTAATACTTTTCCAAACACTACCTTTGTTGCAACACTGCATTGCTGCAAGTACCAGAGCTTTCTGCTTTATTTGAAATGCTACCTAGGTTCCGGGACCAATTCAGAATACAGTTTATTTCTTTGTAGTTTGCAAGTGCACTAAAAGGTTCTCAATCTGAAAGAATATGGTCAGCTTTGGTTTTTAGTTGTTTTTTTTTTTTTTTTGTCTTGCAGATATCCTTTTGAGCCCCCCAAGATTCGATTCTTGACCCCAATCTACCATCCCAACATTGACACAGCAGGGAGAATATGCCTGGATATTCTCAAACTGCCCCCCAAAGTAAGATAGCCCTAGCTTACCTTGAGTATGGTGTTGTGTTTTTTGTCAGTGTCTGGGATGTCACATTTGTCCTTGATGGCATATGACCAGTCTGTATCACACAGGGTGCTTGGAGACCGGCCCTCAACATATCCACTGTTCTTACTTCTATCCAGCTGTTGATGAATGAGCCAAATCCAGATGATCCTCTCATGGCTGACATTGTGAGTGTCACATTATGGCTAGTTTTTGAAGATCTGTGACTTTCCAGATGTTGGTGAAACATAGGGATGCACCAAAATGAAAATTCTGGGCCGAAACTTCAGGATGCCCTTGGCCGAAAACCGAAAATGACTTCTATAATTTTATTAATATTAGACTTTTTAATGAATTAAACAAGCAATATAAACTCTGAAGATAAAAGCAGTGCTTTAGAAGAAAATACATGAGAACCATTAAGCTCACATAGGTTGGTATGCAGTCAGAATACCAAGTACTGAGCGTGTTACTGAATGTATCCCTAAACACAAAGGGTGGCTCTGCACACATGCAAGCAGTGCACTGTCCACAAGGTAAAAAATTATATTCTGCACATTAATGAATAACCACCAATATGTTCATTGCTGTACATAGCCATATAAAAAATGAAAAGGGAAACACGTGTATATTACATACACACAAGTATACAAAATATTTTTGATCATAGTACACTCCAGGTACACTGATCAGTTTTTGTAGTTAGGATTGCATGGGAACACAAAACATAATGTTTACTCTTGTAATGCAATCACTCTGTGTTCATAGAACTCTAAATGAACAGTACTGTATACAGATTGGGATGGACTATGCTGGATATACAGGAAGCACTGCTGTAAGCATACAAACCTTTACATATACTTGGTAGATCTACACAGCACTGGATATACTACAGGCAAAACAACATTAACACTAATGTAATCCTATGTTTAGTAGCCAACACAAAATGCATTGGGAATACTGTATTTCATATTTGGTAATCCCCATGTTGGCACAGCACTGGTTATATCACAAGCATTAAAAAGCCTTTTTTATTGGAGGTTTACATGTTGTGAATTGGGAATCTGCAGGTATGTAATACTCACTGTACACAGCACAGGATTCTTTGTAGACGATCATGGACACAGCACTGTGTATATACAGCATGTGAGTCTTTGTACTGGATTATCATGGGCACAGCACAGAGTATACAGCAATACTATAATATCCCTTAGTACTGGGTATACACCCCCTCCCCCCCCCAGGATGCCCTTGCTAGTTACCTTGGCTCTCTGTCTCCTGCTGGTTCTCTGGCCCTCGTGGGTCTCCGGTTGCCCACCATGATGCCCGGCCATAATGTTTGACCCTGAGGATGGCCAGTGCCCCAGGAAGCCCTCTCTTTCTTCCATGGAGTCCTCCCCAGAGCAGCCTGGTGTCCAGCGAGGTCATGATTAGGAGGAGGAGGGTAGGGGCTCCCGCCTGCCACCGCCGCTCTCTATCTTCTTCACGGTCAGCATGGAGAGATGTTGGAGCGGGGCACAGCCAGGGAAGCGGTGAATCCTCTGTGTGTGAAAGGCAAGCTGTCTATTTTTGGTAGATTTGCCCCTTTTTCAGCTGAAGTGGGATAGGCCCATTTTCGGCCCGAAATTTCGGTGCATCCCTAGTGAAGCATCAATTCCCAGCAGTCTTGTCTAAGGGTGATTTGATTTATGTTGGCTGAAGAGTTTCTGTTTCCATTTACATCTTTGAGGTAGTGGAATACATGTTTTATAAGGCATTAGTAACATGGGATGCATAATGAATAACATGTTCATAATGTATTTAACAATTTTGTAAGCTTACTACCTTACATTTATCATAAACACATACAAACATTCCTTTCCAATATTTGCATTTTATATATATACATATATATATATTTATTTATTTTCCTTCCTGTCAGTCATCAGAGTTTAAGTACAACAGAGCCATGTTCACATCCAATGCACGTAAATGGACAGAGCAGCATGCTATGCCCAGGACACAGGTGAGAATGGTTTCCACACTTCATACCAATGACTCTAATCTAGAGATTAATGGTCAGGTTTAATTTCATTTTTAGTTTATGTACAATTGTCATGTTTTGGTTTGGTTTTCAGTGCATTTATTATATTTCTTTACAGGACACTAAAGCTGATTTAAAAGAAAATGTTACACCAACTGAAAGCACTTTACAGAAAAGAAAGAGTGAGGAACTCCCAAGGGAACCCAAAAAATCTTTCAAAGGACCATGAAAACAAATTTTCTTCATTTGTGTATGTGTATAGTTATATTGTATATATTTTTGTATTTTCTGCATCATTAAAAAAAGTGTAATTTTCACATATTTGTTTAGCCACTTCATAGTTTAGATTGCAGAAATAGGCAACACAATTTTACCTGTAATAATATTCAGGGATTTTGTTAATGTTATGTATATAAAGAATAAAATTTGTTTTAAAGTTTGTGAGTTTTTTTTGTTTTTTTTGTTTTTGTTTTAAAGAGAACTGTCACATGTAAAGGGACACTATAGTCACCTGAACAACTTTAGCTTAATGGAGTTTTGGTGTATAGAACATGCCCCTGCTCAATCTCTGCCATTTAGGAGTTATATCCCTTTGTTTATGAACCCTAGTCACACCTCCCTGCATGTGACTTGCACAGCCTTCCATAAACACTTCCTGTAAAGAGAGCCCTATTTAGGCTTTCTTTATTGCAAGTTCTGTTTAATTAAGATTTTCTTATCCCCTGCTATGTTAATAGCTTATTAGACCCTGCAAGAGCCTCCTGTATGTGATTTAAAGTTCAATTTAGAGATTGAGATACAATTATTTAAGGTAAATTACATCTGTTTGAAAGTGAAACCAGTGGGGTTTTTTTCATGCAGGCTCTGTCAATCATAGCCAGGGGAAGTGTGGCTAGGGCTGCATAAACAGAAATAAAGTGATTTAACTCCTAAATTACACTGAATTGAGCAGTGAAATTGCAGGGGAATGATCTATACATTAAAACTGCTTTATTTAGCTAAAGTAATTTAGGTGACTATAGTGTTTAACATAATTTGTTGGATAACCTTCATAACCTACCAGTTGTCATGAAATTAATTTTTTTTAGCAGGTCTAGAGAAAACACTACACTAGATGCAAGCTTCACACTCAAATCTGACTCTAAGAGTGGACACCTATTGATCACAGGAGCCTGAGAAATTATAACATTAGAGGGTTATCAGTTGCTTTGACTCCATAAGAGATCCCACATTTTATTTGAAGGCTAATAGTCTCAGTGATTCCTACCAAGCAAGCAAAATTGATTACTCTTGACCGGGCCTCCCAAATTTCCTGATCTCCATAGGCACTAGTTGCCTCCACCAGGGACATACTTCAATGTCAATCCTACGCAGATAATCAAAGACCCATGAAAACACTCCAGGAAAAGGCACCTCTGGACTTTGAATCGCATAATCTAACTTTCTTTCAAGATCTCAACCGCTCCACACTGCTTTAATGGAAATCGATGCAGCCGATCATAAAGAAGCTACTAGAAGTGGGCGCACCATGGAAACTGCTTGTCTATAATAAGAAGACGTATAAGGCCACAGCCCCTGACAAAGCCTCCACTTTAATTGCAACTTTTGGCATAGAGTGATTCACACTAGCAGCAACAAGACATGGGCCCACACATAACTGGGATATCTCAAACATGGTACCCATTTGTCCCTACCAGGGGACAGGACTCTGTGACCTATGAGCAAATAGTTTGCAGGCACTTGATAATTATGTCTTTTTTACACCACCCACTGAACCATCACAAGGTGGTCTTCAGGTGTCTGCTCCATACTTAGTTTTCTGATAATATTTTTGGTTTCACCACTGGGGTTTCTTTCTGATTTCTTTAAAAGATTCGAAGCTAGCCAAAGTGAATCTAATTAGGTGGATGCTATACAGTTTCTGCAGTAGTGTTTAGTTGGAACTGGGCTCTAGCCTTTCTAGGAACCACCATAACTAGGAACCCCAAACTGCAAAAAAAGCACAACACAGAAAATAATAAGCAAAACAAGTATACTAGTTACAAGAAAACACATAAAAACCACAAATTCAAAACAGAGAAACTCAATACAAGAATACAGACAGGCCTCTGGGACTCGGGTCTTCAGGATACTGAAAGCAAGACCGTCAAGACTCAATCAGGATGCAGGTAAAATACTTGAAGAAATCCAATCAACTGGCAACCGAAAGAGGGGTAAGGCTAGGCTAAATATCAAGGTAGGGCCAGCTAAGGACAGAGTCTGATCTCTTCAGTCTGAATGCAAAAGAACCAGAGTAAGGTAGTGTTATTGTAAAGCACGGTAGAGGCAATTTAGCATGAAATATTGGTGAGTAATGCCAAGTATGTATGTTTTCAGTGATATCACTTCAGAGAGTAGAGAGGATTTTGAAAAAAGTTCTTACATAGCAATGGCAAAAGGTTACTACGTATATGTGTAATGTTCCAAAAAGGCACTTAAATATTTGAAGAGTAGGTGATGAGGTGGACTGTGTCTGGGAAGCTATGGGTTAAATCTTGTTGGAAACCTTTGCAAAATACCCTGAAATGTGGATGTACAGCAAGTAATGCCTATTTTTGTGTTATGTGTAAACCATATGATTTGGATGAATTTACAACAGGTATCTATGTTATCTATTTCAACATCTGTGCTCTGTTGATTGAATTATATATGGAGGGCCTGAACCATGAGAGATTTTAGCTATTGGCCTTGCCTAAGGCCAGGCGAGGTGTGGTGGTAATAGATTTTAAACTATATGACCGGGCCAATCACATATCACTTATTTTTGTGTTTAACCTTAGAGGGATGTGAAGAAATTATGGAAAAAAATATGAAAACATTTAAAATAGGTAAACCATTATTAGATTATTTATAGCTAGACTATTCAGTGACTTAAATACTTTTCTCTAGAGTCTCTAGACAACCTTTTATTAAGACTTATTTGCACATTTGGCCCTCACGGAAACTTGGATTTTCATTCTTTTCCTCCCTCCTTGCATGTAGGCAGGGGCTTTCAGAGATCTCCTTTATCATGACATCCAACAAATATGGCAGCTCCTGTGGGGTGGAAAGCTACAACCACTACACTGTTACACCACACACATACCTCAACAACCTAACATGTATGGGGTCCTCACATTATTTAAACTCATGCATTGACCCAGACCTTTGTCTCATGTTTTTTCCTACCTACATACACCCCTTCAACAGTAACAAGCCTCCAACGCATACCATGGCACATTGGAAGAGGTAGTCGGTGAAAGATTTACCTTTGTTAACTGGCTCCAAATTGTGATTTGGTGCATAATTGTGCAATGGCTTATAAATTACAGGAAACTTGATATAAAGTACTTTCTCTATGGTACAAACCACCAGTGATCCATCACTTGATAGCCTTCTCTGGAGATGAAATGGGGCTCAAGGATAATTTGTGTTTGATGGCAATGTCAACTAATACTCCCCTATTGGAACACTGTTTTAACTGGATTATGAAACTTTTTAGTCAACCTATCTCCATTGCATCCGGCTCCTTTCTTCTTTAATCACACTACACTTGCAAAACAACTCATTTCCTCTAGTTTGGATGCAACATATTTCTACCTTTTTGTACCTTTGGTATGCTATGGAGGTGTTAAAGGGACACTACAGTCACCCAGACCACTTCAACTCAATGAAGTGGTCTGGTTGCCAGGTCCCTCAGGTTTTAATACTGCAGATGCAAACATAGCAGTTTCAGAGAAACTGCTATGTTTACATTGCAGGGTTAAGTCAGCTTCTAGTGACTGTCTTCCGGAAAAATGCTTTCCTATTGATAGCTTGAATGCACGCGCAGCACTTGCCGCGCATGCGCATTTGGCTCCGCAGACGTTGCCAGAGGGAGCTGACTACGACGGGGGAGGAGAGGTCACCAGCGCTGAGGGAGCCTGGCACTGGAAAAAGTTAAGCTGCTGAAGGGGTTTTAACCCCTTCAGCGCCATGGGAGGGGGACCCTCAGGGCACTATAGTGTCAGGAAAACCGCTTAGTGATCCTTTAAGGTCTCTGGAGGAATTATGTTTCTCGACTCAATGGAGTATTCAGGTATACCTAAATGATATTTAGGTGCAATGACTGGCCCCCTTTACCAATGACTTTCTACGCATGTTCATTGTCATGGTAGATAAGACGTAATGCCTGCACCTATTTCTCCTACTTCCCCTGAGGTTTCATTGAATTTTAAAGGAGCACTATAGTCTACATATAAAAGCAAGAAAGACAAGTCCCCTAGCCTTATGACTTGCTTTTATATGAACTTCCCCTTATTAAAAATAATTTTTGAGTCCTTTTTAGCATATAAACTTACCTCCGTTCCAGCGCCAAGATCCCAGTCAAGTAGCAGGGTTAAAACAGACTCTTCTCTTAGAGAAGCATCATCGCGATCTGGTGTGCATTTGGGGCTTCGCGTTGCACCAGTCGCGTTCTTCATAGATCCGCATTGAATGGCGCCATATGAATGAACTCTACCGGTATGCACCTTCGTGAACTGAGTGCTGACTGACAGCTCAGCTCACTTTCTATGCCCACCCCCCTCCTACGGCAACCCTCCTCAGCTCAAACTCTGTGTGTTTGCATAGAAACACTATATATAGAGATCTCTCTATATATAGTGTTTGTATACAAACACACAAATAGTAAAAATTGCAAACATACACACACTCTCCATCAATCCCTTCCTATCCATCCATCCCTCTCTATCCATCCATCCATCCCTCCCTTTGGATCCATCCCTATCCATCTGTTACAAAATGCCTTTTGTAACTGTGCCTTTAACTGACAAATTGCCCTGCTTCCCTGGATTATGGAGGAGCCTATTTGCCAGCCTCCCCCATGACTATGGACCGGGTGTGTATGGCCCTTTAAGAACAGTCTGTAAGCATATTGGGGCTTATGGACATTTTATGGGACTGGTGCTGGCCCTTTAAGCACATTTTTGGGACATAGAGAAAATTGGGACAATGCCCAGTTAAGACGGTGTCCCCAGACTTGTTTGGGACACTGCCCCTTTAAGCCTGTGACCCCAGTGTCCCCAGACTTGTTAAAAGTACTTTGTTCCTGGCTTCTTTACACTTGGCGCAGAAAAAAAGGGATTATTGAACCAAGTACTATACAGGCAGACCACCCAGAAGTGGAAGTGTGCAGGCAATTTACCTCCCAGGTTGTGGGATTGCTGTAGGTAAATTGCCGAACACTGGGTGGCCGCCGTTCGCGCAAACGAACACGTGGCAGCGCCATCTTTATTCATTCAAATACGGTCAGCTGTGTGTGCAGCCAAATTCATGAAACTAAAATCGGCTGCACATTTCCGCAAACACCGCTGACCTGTACGTTCTCCCATACTGAACTTTCAGCCGCAGAGACTAAATCCCATTCAGGCATTTTCAGCCTGAAATAGACCGACCGCACAGCCCAAATCTATGGAACTGTTTTGGGCATGAAAATGTGCTTGCGGTCGGTCATAAAAGACTTCCGTCTAACTTTTGATCTACTGAATAGATTTTTATGATTTTTGAGTATGTTTATATTTAAAGGATACTGATTAATAATATGTTTTTATGAAGATTTGATGTATGGTTTTAAAGTTATAGTACATGTATAAAAACGTTTTTTTTCCTGCCTGTGATAATTATGTTAACCATTGTGTACCATAATTATATCACAGACAGAGGGGAGGATTTTGTGTGTAATTGCTGGGGGTGTTTTCTGTAATGTACGTGTGTTATTGGTTGTTCTGTAAAACCCTGTGGGTGGTCCTATGTAAGGAGAACCTGCATAAAAGAAGGCCCTTTGGTGCCAATTAAACAGAATGACTTGACCCTCTAACTTGCAGCCTCGACTCATGTTTGTAGGGGACAGCTATAATCACTACAGGGATTGCTATGCTCTTCATATTCCCTTAGCTACTGAGCTCTTGTAAGAGCTAGTGCTCCTGATCCTGCTTCGCTCTACAGAAGGAAGAGGTTCACCTACTGGAACCTGGAGCCTGGTCGTAGGTCCAGGGTGGATAGCAGACGGCAAGATCCTAGCCCAGCAGCGGCGGCTCATGGAGTCTGCAGTGCTTATAGTGTCTACAGTGCTGATGGTCCTTTGGTGAGCGCTAGGAGCATTTTCTACGGTCCAACTTCCAGCCAGCCTGGAGGCAACCATAACACCATCCATCCCCATCCCTCCCTATCCATCCATCCCTATTCATAGAGACAGATAGATGGATAGAGATGGATCGGTGGATGGATAGCGAGGGTTGGGTGGATGGATAGAGAGGGAGGGAGGGATGGATGGATCGAGAGGGATGGATAGGAAGGGATAGATGATAGGGAGGGATAGATGGATGGATAGAGAGGGATGGATGGATGATAGGGAGGGATGGATGGATGGATAGGGAGGGATGGATAGAGAGGGATAGATGGATGGATAGAGAGGGATGGGTGGATGGATAGAGAGGAATGGAAGATAGAGAGGGATGGATGAATTGAGAGGGTTGGATGGATGGATGGATATTGAGGGATGCATGGATAGAGAGGGATAGATGGATAGGGAGGAATGGATGGATAGAGAGGGATGGATAGAGAGGGATGGATGGATGGATAGAGAGGAATAGATGGATGGATAGAGAGGGATGGGGATGGATGGATAGAGAGGAATGGAAGATAGGGAGGGATGGATGGATAGGGAGGGATAGATGGATGGATTGAGAGCAGGGCCGTCTTTAATGTTGACTGGACCCTGGGCAAGCATTAGCTTGGGCCCCCTGGTCCCCTTCCGCCCACCTTCTAGCATGCAAACACACCTTCCACCCAAAGACACGCACAAAAAACACACACATAGATCGTAGACTTAGCCACACTTATTTTCTACCTAGTGAAAATACACACACAGACACACATACAGATGCAAACACTGACACAAATGCAGACTCGGTCACATACACAGGCTCAGACATACATAGGTACATACATCTAAATACACAGACACACAGGTGCATACACAGATACACACTGGCACACATACAGATACTCACTGACAAACATGCAGATACACACTAAAACACAGAGAAACAGAGAAACACACCCTGACATATATGCAGACACACACAATAACACACATACAGATACATACACGGACACACATGCAGTTACACAAACACACACTAACACATACAGACACACATACTGACACATATTCAGATACACAGACACAGACAGATACACAGGGGCACACACTGACACACATGCAGATACACAGACACACATGCAGGTACACATACACAAATACGCATACAGAGACTCATGCAGACACACAGATACACATATAGACTGATACACACAGATACACAGACACATGCATATACACATAAAGACAGCTATACACACAGAAACACACATACAGATACACAGATATACATACAGACAGATATACACACAGAAACTCACAGATACACACACAGACTGATAAACATGCAGACAGATATACACACAGACCCACATGCATATACACATACAGACAGATACACACACAACAGACACATGCACATGCAGACAGATATACACACAAACAGACATACATGGGAAATTTACACTTTCCGTCACCCTCCTGTTTCCTACCTTTTGGGTGCAGAAGGTGCGGTCCCGTGGCTGTCTGAGGCTGTTGGGAGTTGGGCTCTCTCCCAGTCCGTGCTCCTCCTCTCTTCCTCCCTCCCGCACGGCATTCTCTGTGTTAGCTAGGAGGAAGTGACTGCACTTCCTCCTAGCGCTGACCTCATCACTGGGGGCCCGTTCGCGCCTTTAAAACGCTGCAGCGCTGGCCGGGCCCCTGCAGACTTATTGCCATCGGGTGGCCCTAAGCGCATGGGACACCCGATGGGGCCCCTCATCGTGCGGCCTGCAGTGGTCTGCCTGCACGCACCACAGCGGCCAGCGGGCTCAAGGGGCAGCTGCTTTGGGCCCCCTAGGAATGACAGGGCCTGGGGCAGCTGCCCCGCATTAAAGATGGCCCTTATTGAGAGGGATGGATGGATAGAGGGATGGATAGGGAGGGATGGATGGATGGATAGAGAGGGTTGGATGGATGGATAGATGGATAGAGAGGGATGGTTGGATAGAGAGGGATGGATAGATGGATGGATAGAAATAGAGAGGGATGGATAGAAAGGGATGGATAGAGAAGGATGAATGGATCCATCCCTCACACTCACTCTCTCTCACTTAATCAATCTCAGTCACAATTACCCAGCCACACTCACAATCACTCACCCACACTCACCCACCCACCCACACTCACTCACACTCACTCACCCACCCACAATCACTCACCCACCCTCACTCACACTTAGTCACCCACACTCACTCACACTCAGTCACCCACCCACACTCAGTAACCCACTCACAATCACCCACCCACACTCACAATCACTCACCCACACTCACTTACTCACACTCAGTCACCCACCCACATTCAGTCACTCACTCCCACTCAGTCACACTCACCCACCCACACTCACAATCACTCACCATCACTCACCCACCCACACCCACCCACTCACTCACCCTCACTCACACTCAGTCACCCACACTCAATCTCCCACTCACAATCACTCACCCACCCACACTCACAATCATTCACCCACACTCAGTCACAATCACTCACCCACCCACACTTACAATCACCCACCCACACTCACAATCACTCACCCACATTCACTCACTCACACTCAGTCACCCACCCACACTCAATCAGTCACCCACCCGCACTCACAATCACTCACCTACACTCACTCAGTCACCCACACTCATTCACTCACTCACCACCCACTCACTTAGTCACCCAAACTCACTCAGTCACTCACCCACCACCCACACTCAGTCACCCACACTCACTCAGTCACAAAATAAGTTTACTCCCCTCCTGCTCAGACTCATTCAGTCACTCACCCACAATTAGTCACTCAGTCACCCACCCACACTCAATCACTCACCCACCTACACTCAATCACTCACCCACACTCAGTCACAAAATAAGTTTACTCCCCTCCTGCTCGGTCTCTGGTCCTCAGCCTGGCAGCTCAAGCCGACGCTGTTTGCAGGAGATCTTATCTCCCAAACTGTCTGCTCTCATTGCTGACAGGCTTCGGGGTTAATACAGGACACAGGAGGCGCGTTCACAGTGCCTACTATCTCCTGTCTGCTGATAGCACGTTTGATGTCTTCACCCAAGCGTGAAGACGTCAAGTGTGAAAATGAATGCGAATTATGCATTCATCAACTCGGATGTCCCTTTGGTGGCAGTCTGAGAGACTGCAACTGGAGGTTTTCCTAGCTTCCAATGTAAACACTGTATTTTCCTAGAAAATACAGTGTTTACATGAGAAAGGCTGCAGGGAGCTATAGTATTCACCTTAACAACCTCATCAAGCTGAAGTTGTTCAGGTGAGTGTAGTGTCCCTTTAAGTAAAAGCCCACCTGCTTCCCTCAGATCAAAAATTGCTGCTTCAACAAGAATATCACCCGTCCTCCTTTTCCCCCTCTCACATGTGTGACATGTCATGATTCCCTTATATTCCAGAAGTTTGGTCCTTAAGGGGTTAAGGAGAGAGAGAAGGAGAGAAAATGGATTCTTCTTTCTTTCCACCTCAACTGCCTCTATAAGGTTCTTTTACACCTAACCGGTAAATTATAGCAACATAAGGAGAAAAATGGAGTCATGCACAACTGATATTGAAGTGCCCACACTGGTGCTACCACATTTTATTGGAAGGACAATGTACAGAATGCAAACAGTAGCCCTTTATCAATGCAAATGTCCTTAGTTAAAAAAGAAACCTATCAAATATATATTATTTTTATTATATTTATATAGCACAAGTGCTCATTTTAATCCAAGTGCCCCCCCACACATCAAATATAATCAGAATCAGCTGTGCAGCTACTTCAAGCGTCCAGCCGCCATCTTGGAGCCTCTATTCACTTCCTGGTTCATCAAGACGTGCATGGTGATGTCAGAGGTTGTGCCCATAGCGCGTGACGTCATCACATGCAGTTGCTAGGAAACGAGTAAACATACATTCGTTCAAATGCATCACATCAGGCTAACAGGCCATATATAGCAGAACAGTTTATTTTAAAGCTAGAGCTCAATTCTGATTAGTATTATCCTTCTCAAAGATCTATAATAATAAAAAAAAAAAAAAAGATGCAGACGTAGAAGGAGAAACTATAGCACAGCTAATATAGTTATCTATACCTTTAAAGAAATATCAATAACTACAGTTATTTACAATAATGAAAAATAAATAATGGAAAATAAATAGGAACACCCTCACCTACTATGAGAGTAAACAGCATGCCAATTAAGGTTGAAAAATATACATAAAAAGAGACTGAGAGGCAACGTAAAACAGATAATTAGAAATAATATAGTACATACCCAGATCCAGGATGCACCTACAGGAACCAGTGCCACTCAAGCTTCTCATTAAGACCATGAGGGGATCCGGTGAGCTTCCTTCTGCAGCAACAACTTCTCTCTATTACCACCACTAGTCAGCGGGGGCACCCTTTCCAGCACTTATAGCATAACTGGGAAACGCTATGTCTTTTATCCCTAAAGTGCCGTGCGACTGGTGTGTCCGAGTTTGTGCTTCATGGTTTTGTGTTGTGATACAAGGCATGTATCGTTTTACCCACATAGCCCAAGCCACACAGACACTTTAGGAGATATACCAACAGTCTGGCATGTAAAAAACACTTTTAACCTACTCTGTTGACCAATCCTAAGATGGGTGCAAAATTCACCCTTAATGATCCCACTACAATAATTGCAGCTCAAGCAGGGATAAATCCCATGTACAGGTTTTGAAAGAAACGTCTGTCTAGTGTTAGTCTGACTGTCAGCCCTGACTACCTTATCTCTTATGGATTGGCCACGCTTATTAGAAAATAATGGGGGATTCTTAAATAAATGTCCAGTATGTTTATCTGTTTGTAATATGAACCAATTGTTACATATAACATTCTGTATTTGTGGTGTAAGTGGTGAAAAAGTACTCACAAATGGTATTCTGTCTTGTTTGTGTTTATTTGTCGTGGAAAGTAGTTCCTTCCGATTCATGTCTTTAGCCTTCCGTTTAGCTTTTTGTAACAGACAAGGGCTATATCCCTTTTCTAGAAATTTCTGTGAAAGGTCTGTAAGGTGTTTGTCTACTATGCTGTCATCGCTGACAATACAGCGGACCCGCAGGAACTGGCTGTGTGGAATGGAACAAATTTGTTTAGGGGAATGGAAACTATTTACATGTAGCAAACTATTTGAATCTGTCGGTTTGGTGTACAAAACAGTGCATAAGTGATATCCATTTTCCTGACCTGTACATCCAAAAAGTTCACAGAGTCAATACTCACAATGGTGGAATTCTGATGTCCCTATGGCACTGATTTAGGTAGGTAAGAAACACTTCAAGGTCAGCACGAGTGCCCTGCCGGAGATAAAGCAGTCATCTATGAACTGTAGCCATTTGGTAGCATGCATCTGAAACAGCTTATATTTATACACAAATTTCTTCAAAGTCTGTCATAAAGACAAGTTGGTAAACGATGGTGCCATATTAGCACCCATCGTAGTCCCCTTGGTTTGTTCATAAAAAATTGACATATACCTAAAAAAGCTTTTTCTTAATTTTTTTTTAAATAAAATGAAGCACATTTTCTCATCTGTAAGCACACTAGACAGTCTCTTCTGTACTTCTGACAAACCTTTGTGGTGGGGGATAGCTACGTCTAATGTCACTAGCAAGTCAGAGGGCTCTACCTGTAAATTTCTAATGCTCACCAGGAAATCCTTAGTATCCTGGATATAGGATCTGCCAGAGGTAACTAAGGATTGTAAAAATTGGTCCACAAAGATGGCCACGGGTTGAAGGATGGAATTTGTACCTGCCACAATAGGGCGCCCTGGTGGATGAACGGTATCTTTGTGGACCTTTGGTAAGATATAGAATATGGGATATAGAATACGGGAGTTCTGGGAAATTTATTGAGAAAAAAGGAGTACTTGGATTTGGTAATTGCTTCATCTTTAACCGCCCTCTCTAGTACGGTCTGGATAATTTTGGTCACATGGGGTGTAGGGTCATTCTTAAGGACCCTGTAGTTAATTATAGTAGATTATAGCTTGTCTGCCGATAATTTGATTTACCATGAATCTCTTCACTGACCTCTGCGTACATTCATTTAGCAATGACATGATGACTTTGTTCGCTTTTCAAATTTCAGGATATTTGCGTGTTATGTAACTCATATTTTTCTCTTATACCCACTCTACTTATGGTACCTTTCATATGAGTTCTCTGCATAGCTGTATGTGGGATTGAATACTCTACCTTGTAACGGACCGTTTTGCCCAAAAGAGGTTAAAAACCGTTTAGGCGATATTCCCCTCTTTCAGCTGCACAGACAGCTACTGCAAGCACCAATCTCCTGAACTGCAAACCCACGAATTCACCAACTCCCGAACTGCATACCAAGGGAATACTGGAAACTCCCGAACTGGAGACACACGAATAGCTGCTGGCAGACGAACAGGAAAAGCCTACAATCAGATTACACTCCTGGCAATCAAACTGGAACAGCATACAATAACTCCTTCCCCAATAATGAGACGACACTTCACTTTGAGGGTTAAGCAGGAACTCTCTGTAATGGCCACACACTGGCTTTTATGCAAGTCCCCATGCAAGGGGACCAGGGCCGTCTTTAAGGAGGGGCAAACGGGGCAGCTGCTCTGGGCCCAGTTACTCATGGGGGGCCCAAAGCAGCTGCCCCCTGGGCCCCGTCGCCTGCAATAAAAATAAATTTTTGAAAAATATTTCCATACCTAATGGGCCCGCGGTGCTAGTATTGCGGCTGCACCGGGGCCCGCACACTAAGGGGGCCCACCGGGTGGCCCATACCTTTAGGGCCACCCAGTGAGCATGTTCCAGCAGGGGTCCGGTCGGCGCTGTGGCCCTTTAACAGCGCGACCGGGTCCTTGCTTAACGGCTGCATGGGAGGAAG